TCCTTTTTTTTTTTTTTAAAGCCACAAATACAGACAAATATGCACGTGGAAAGAGAGCCATAGGCAGGTAAAAAATTTAAGACGTAATTAATGCTCCCAAATGGCCTTGCTCACGGCTCACCGCACTGTTCTGTGAAAGCCCAAAAAAAAAATGGTGGAGCTTCGTCTCAAAAGTCAGATTTTATAAACGTGAATCCAAATAGTATTTTAACCTAAAAAGATATTTTGTTTGTGAAGAAGCTCATTTGGGCTTTCAATTGTGGTCTAACACACTGTACAAGTCATAGGCCCAGCCAAAAATAGAGAGCGTGTTTGGGAGAGCGTTTTATAGGCCAAACGCTGATGAAAAGCTATAATAAGCCTGATTGCATATTGAAGGCAGTTTGGATCGGCGTTTGGGCCATCCAGCTTATCCGCCAAAATTCAGATTGCACCCCCCCATCTGTTAAGCTCTGTGGAGAAGCTTTTTGATATTGCAACACCCGATCACAAAGCTCTCTAGACCGTTATTTTTTGTCAGTTCTCTCTCCATTTTTTTATTTGTTTCTTTTTCTGCCTTTTCCCTGCCCGTGACCTTCCTCCTTTTCCAGTCTTTCTTTCGTGCCTCCCTATCGAAAAGACGAGCTTCACCACTGGAGAGAAAAGCTCTCTGCCTCCCTATATTTTTTATGATTTCTCTAAAGTTTTCAATTTTAATTCATTCATCAAATTTTACTTCTTTATTATATTATCTTAGTTCTGTTTTTTTCTCCATGTTTCAATGTATATTTAAAATATTTTTTATGATTTCTTTAAAATTTTAAAATTTAATCCACTCATTAAATTTGATTTCTTCATATTAATTTATTTTAATTTTATTGTATTATTTGAAATTAATTTTTTATCATGTTTTATTATTTATTAAAACTCATACCCATTTTGGTAATTTTTCAGCCAAACTTACTTTTACTCAACTATAATCCAAACAAGCTTTTACCAATCTCACTTTTGCAAATTGACTTTTCTGAACTCAAATCCAAACACAATTCAGCTTATCCAATTTAACTTTTACCAACTTCACTTTTCCATAAGCTACTTTTTCTATAAGCTATTTTTCTAATTGCTGATCCAAACGGGCATAGAATCATTACCCCACAAACACAGTTTATAACACTGTGAAATTAAAGACGCGGGGAAAAGGATTACGCTGGTAAATGAATCTATGAGCTCAGACCTACGGCTCACAGGAGTATCAGTAAAACCTGAAAAGAAAGAATACGATTTTTACATAGTAATTGAGAATGGATTTTATGATGCGTCAGTTTATTTTATAAGTATTCAACTTGAAATTTATTACTCCTCCGGTCCTTAATATAAGATCCATTTAACTAATTTGATTAGATTAAGGAAGTTAGGTAAGTTAGTTAATTATAAGAAAAGTGACACATTTTTCCTAAAACACCATAATCATCTTTCTTAATACCCCTTTCCCTCTTCTACTTGATTATGGTTAAGGGAGTATCCATAGGGGTAATTTAGAGAAAATTGATAAATATGAGAAATGAGTTTTATATTTAGGACCAAAACCAACTCAAGAATTGAGTCCTATATTAAGGACCAGAGGAGTATTATTTAGGTGAAGTTTTTTACGTTGTAATCCAAGACTTCTTGTCAAAACAATAAGGCCCTTCACACCTAATCGTCATAATTGACCCCAAAACACTTTGCTCATTTTGGACCACAAGAAAATTTTACCAATCACGTTCACAGGTCATCTTGTAAAATGAACACGATGATCGAAGAAATATAGGTGACTATGTTTATCAATGCTGAGAAATAAGCCACTTCTAATTACCATTTCCCATATTTTTGTCAAAACTCCAAAGGGATAAGGAGTTTGGCATACATGTTGATGTATCCCTATTTTATAATATATTTTTATGTATAATTAAGAGATTTTATAATGTTTGAAGGGTTTAAAATGCAATAGATACTCATATTTTGATTTAAGGAAATTATATGAATTAATTGCTTAAAAGTGCATTTTTTTATTATATTTTTATGATTTCCCTTTTGAAAGGTATCTTTGCTTTGATTCCAGGAAATATTCTGTCAAGCAAAACATGGACCTCTTAGAAAACTACATTTGTGGTAGCCATGTGACATTACAAGAGGATTTTCTAATTATCTAATTAGAAATTATTTAAAATATCTAGCCATAATATCTCTTATCTTCCACCATAAATTAAAGAGCTTGAATAATTAGTTTCTTTTGTGGATAGTTCCTTTATCTTATTTTGAATTTGAATAAATATTTTATTCATATTCCATTATCCATTTAATTTTCCAAATATCCACATTATCATTTTTATCCTCTTTCTAAACCCCAACCCTAATTCATTCAGCCACAATATCATTATTCAAATTTGAGATATTATCCTTTTATCCAATATCATTTAAATTCAAAAGCTCTTTTACTATGGTTGCCATGAAGATCACACCGAATCAAGAGAATTCAAATTCAAAGTTATATTAAGATTACAAGATAAAAGAAGATAAAAGATCAAGTTAGAAGACTCAAGGGTTTTCTCATCCAACTAGGAGAGATTCAAAAACTATAAAAGGAGATCAAGGGAGCCTTGGAGAAACAACAAAGCCATCTACACTACACAAACACGAGCATACACTTGGCTTCCTCTTGTGTCCGGCTGTTTTACTGTCTTCTTTTCATCATTTTCTTTTTATCATTATGGTGTCATCTAGCCATATGTGTGGCTAGTCTTCTTTGTTCCTGAGGATGAGATGACATGGCTTGAGTTCTTGTTTATATTAGAGAGTTTGTTAGTTTTCTTAATTCAATCCACTAGTACATTGCTTTTATAAATTTCCTAGGCTAGGATTTTGATTTCTTTTGTAGACTAATATTTGATTTGTGTTTCAATTGAACAATTATGTTTTGAAGCTTTTGATAAATATATTTTCAGTTTCCTCGTGATTCTATGAGTATTTATCTTTATAGATTTCTGTTTTGATTTGCACAAGTAGTTCATGCTTTAGGGTTTTCGATAGATAAGTCTCTTTAGGAACAAGATATAATTGTTTAATTGAATTCACAACTAAGTGGTTTTTAAATGATTAATTGAAAGGTGATTATATGCTAATTCTCTAGGTATAATTATTAATTAATTAATCACGACTTAGATGTTATCTAGGATTTTTCTTGTTAACTTAGTAATTATTTTTATACAAACTCCTCATCCTTTTGAACCGTGATAGCCACTCATCAACGTCCTTGGAAAGTACATCATTCTGGTAAAGTCTTCATTCCTTTCACTTCCTTTTACTTATTGTTATTTTCTTTTATTTTTGTCAATTTATTTTCTTAAACAAATCAATCAATTTTCTTTCCTACTCTTCTTTTTTCTACATCACCTTTTTCTTAATTAAAAAGGTTTTTAAAATTTTAACAAAGCTCCTCATAGAGAGAGACGAACTAGGTTGACTTGTATACTATATAGGGTTAATTTAGTTAAGTAATTTGAATATTTACATGACAGGCGATCACATCTAGACTCCAATAATGGAAGCCAGCTAGCTTGTCCACTAAAGGAGTAAAGATGCCAAGGAAAGAGACGTGCTAGAACAGTTAGCGAGAAATGTCTAAAATTGGAGAAAGAGAAAAGAGGGACTGAAAAGGGAACATCACAAATTATAGAAGGAGGGTTTTGTTTTGTTTTGTTTTGGTTTTTCTTCTTTCAGTCATTGTTTAATCAGTACGCAAGAAGATGGGCTCGGGAAAAGAAAGATTGTACGCGAAGTGTTTGATGTTATGTCTAATAGAGAATAATGCACGTTACCAAGGTTCAAATGGAAAGGACTTAGAGACTTTAAGCATTATGTCCTGGGTATCTTAGGGCAGTGTATATGGAGAAAAATATTATTGGGAGGGGTTCCTGTTACGGTACCTAACAGTATCCTGAGAGATTAGTCTCTTACTATTCATGTGAGAGGATACTCTGGGCAACCAAAAAAAAAAAAGAATAATGCACTTTAATTTTCTCATTTGTACAATGAATCAGGTTTCGTGTACCGAGCAAAACCCACCTTGCAGGACCACTTTTGCTCAGATGTTAGTCTTCCCCAAAAAATGACACAATCGCGGGTGCGACGAGATAAAATGTGGAAGGAGAAGTGGAGGTGTGCCCAGTTTTGTTAAGATGGCACCAACGGCCTCGCTGTATAGCATGTGAACGAGTAGTGGCTTTCCCTTTCCCTCCCTTTAATTAAAGGATGTCAGTTTAATTAGTAAGCATTGGTACAGGCTAAATGATATTCCCTAAAAAGTTTGTGCTATGCATGCTCTTTAACTTCACCCACCTCATATATATGCTTAGTTTCTAGCTTTGCCCTTGTAAGGAGGCTTGTAGCATTATATATATTAAAAAAAGGTCCATTTTTCACAACATTTTATTCTCACTTCTTTTTTGTCGTTAAACTTTCTAATATACCATTATTTTGTTAAAGCTATCAATCTTCTAGCTATTATGGTTTATATGCGCAGTAGAATGGACCGATAACTGCAGATAAAATAGAAAATTACTGCTCTTCAAGCATTCTCATTGGCATTAATTGTTAGGGAACCAGTGAACTCCACTTTGGTGATTCTATGCAGATGGCAGACGCAAGCTACTTAAAAATAATTGAAATGTTAAAATTACCAAGTTTTTCTCTACTGTCTGAAACATGCATAGAAGTTAGACAAAAAGTTTATTTTGGTCTTCAATATAATAAGTTAATCTATTTTATCTCTTAAATTTATATCTTAAAATATTCTTATTGATTCCACGTATTAAGAAAGCTCCTAATTAATGGGTAGTTCAAATTAACATGATAAAAGACGGTAATTTAGGAAAACAAAAAAACTTTTACTACAAATAACTAGTTTAACTAATTTTTTTAACATCAATGACCATAACAATAGTTTTCTTTTCTAATTTATCATTATTTTTTTTAAAAGAGTGATTCTTTTGTAATTTAACATTTTTTTTTTAAAGAATGAGGATCCATTTAATTGCTATAAAAGGACCATCCAATGGCAATGAAGCACAGCATTATCATTATTCCCTCACTTTAACATTGCAAACACACTCTCTCTCTCTCTCTCTCTTCCTCTGCCTCTATATATATTCCTGCTGTACACTCGTCCAATGCAGGTACTATGAAGTCTCTAAAGCACGAAGATAATGGGAAGGTTAGGTTTCCTTCGCGATTTCATAAATTATCTTCTGTTCTATTATTTTTTTCTTCTTCATCCATACCCATATTCTTTTTTCTCCTCTTTATGCTATGAGAAGTTGATTTCATGTTGTGACGCGTTCTCATTCTTTTTTTCTTTCCCCTTCTCTTCTTTTGTGTTCCAAATTACTTCATTCCATCAGGCGATGATGAGTAGTGATACTTTTATTTGTGTAAATGTGTTGGGCGATGATGCATCTTACGATGCTCAGCTTTACTTCAGAATTACTACATTCTAAAGCCACCTATTTAGTTGAGGAATCCCTTTTTTTGGTACTGTTTTTTTTTAATCAGACAGAAAATTTCTGTTTTACATATTGAAGATTTTTGTTCACATTCCATATTCCACCCCTATATTCCCATATTCCCATATGATTCTTAGTTTTGTTCGCATCTGTCTCCTTTCAAGATCTGATTTTTCTTTGACTTGCTTACAGTATTCCTTTTTCTCATTTGCATTTTGATTTTCAGATACGCTTGGTTGTCGGTGACTTCGACTGTGATTTCTTTGATTAAACTAGTAACAAGTGGTCAGAAGTATTTGAAATGTACAAACAAGAAAGGACGCTACGCACGGCCAAAATAACAGTGAAAAGGGATAAAAAGGGGACATGACAGAATGAGGAGTAGCAAGTAAATTAGTGTAATCTTAGTTAATAAAAATCTCTTTACTCTTCACTCCCTACACTCACTTGATGCATTTATGATTTTTATTTTCAAGATGCTTTTCAAAAGAATTGAAATCTCACTCACCCTATCTCTCCCCCCCCCTCCTCACACAGAGATGAGAATATCATGTAAAACAAGTGGATGGTACATTTAGCTCTGCAATTTGCATTATACCAGAGGGTAAAAATCATATAAGAAGAGTTTTGTTTTGGTTTGGTTTATCTTCTTTTAGTCATTGTTTAATCAGCGTGCCTGATGGGCACGGGAAAGGAAACAGATTGTATACAAAGTGTTTGATGTTATGTCTAATAGAGCATAATGCACTTTCCAGATTACATGTACCGAGCAAAACCCACCTTGCAGGACCACTTTTGTTCCAATAATCTCAACGACACAAACCGTCTCTACTATTCAGATCTTAGTAGTCTTCCCCAAAAATGGCACAACTGTGCGTGCGGAGAGACGAAGTGTGGAAGGCGAAGTGGACGTGAACGAGTTGTGGCTCGCTCTCTCTGATTATAAAAGATGTCATTTTAATTAGTAAGCATTTAGAGATTGATTAAAAATTAGAAGAAAGTATAGCCACCGGCTGCATGATATTCCCTAAAACCTTTGTGCTATACATGATTTTTAACTTCGACCCCCTCGTATATGTACTTAGTTTCTAGCTCTACCCTTGTAAGAAGGCTTGTGGCATTTTGTATATTAAACAATGTCCATTTTTCATACCATTTTATTTTCACTTCTGTTTATCTTTAAACTTTAATTTCTAATTTATTATCAAAATCTCATTTGAACACATCTCTTATTACTACTAATTAAACCAACTCATACATACGAAAGGTAAATTAAGAAACTCGACAACAAACGACAATAAAATCTGCCTTTGAAGTAAATACTGGAAAGTTCTGATTAGCAGAGAACTAGAAATATAATACTAGTAACATTTAGTCTTAAATCTGACACCAGACTTCTATGGCAAGAATTCAGCTAGCAAAATTAATTCCCCATGTGACAACCATGCCTTTACTGGATGGATTAGTAAGACAAAACGTCTGGTTCTTTATTTATGAGAACCAAACTCTCAACATATGATCCAACAAAAGCATGAAAGCATTTTCCATCTGTTAAAGGCTTCACCAAATGTGTCATTGGGTCATGTGTTATCAAGTCTTAGCACCGCCTTTCCATCGCTACCAAGAGCTAATACATTTGTATTTGGCGCCTGAGGCCACGCCCATAATAATTATGCGTTTCACAAGTGCCAACCACCGTTTACCAATACAAACGAGGCCATTGCAAGTGCCAACCACCGTTAATAAACCACGCGATGCAGACAGGCGAGTTAGTGGAAATCCCTCAACAGAGAAGTGATCGATTTGTTGGTTATTCGAGTATAGTGAGTAAAATTCCTCAAACCCGAAGAACTCCCAGGGGCCTCTTCCAGTTCGATGATAGAGCTGAAAGAGGGAACCATTTCCATTACTGGCTTGAATTGTTCGGTTGAGATGATCAAATATGAATGTATGATCAGTGATCAGGGAATTCCAAGCTCTGCAAACAGAAGTGAATTTCGCAAGAGACTTGTTGGGAAGTCTGAAGAATTTCCAGTAGAATTTCTGGAGGGAAATCACCAGGCATTGCTTTCCACTTGGAATTCCGGATTCTATCCTTAATAGCTAACACTTTGCTCCTCAGCACTTGAAAGAAAGTAGCACAGCACCAGCAGAACTCCGTGGCAAGTACAGATAAGAAAACAATAAAATAATTGCAGGCAATCTAACTTCGAAAGAGGAAAATTTACCTTTTATTCGAAGCTTCAATGTTCTCCCGATCTCTTAATACAATGGCGCCAGAGCTCCAGAACATTCGTCAACCAAGAGAGGTATAAAGATACAGAATAACAAAGAGCAATCGTATGGAGATTCTAAAGGCGCTACTAGCCTCAGTAGCCTGAGACTTGTTGCTTTGAGGAATTAATGGAAGGGCGTCTGCCCCATATCACACCAAAGAAAAAAGCGATGCAGAGTCATAAAGAGCTATCGAATGGTCTCAGAACTCTCCTACAGAGTAGAAAAAAGGCTAAGCCATAGCTTAGTAGTGGGCTGCTTCTTTTAGGTAAGTTTTGTGCTTCAAGTTCAACAAGAGGAACCAGCCAGGAAAGACCCACCAAATGCGAACAGTGCTATGCCAAAATATAAGAGCAGGACGACTTAGCTTGTGAAAAAACAGATAAAAGTAAAAAGAAAGAGCAGGACGAAAATCAGAAGAAACAGTATAGAGAATTAAAAAAATGTAACGATGACGATTTTTTAATTTATACTTAATTATTATTCATTGAAAATATTATTTTATTTTCGATATACACCAGCAATGAATGATATATGGAGGTATATCATACAGTAAAATATTTATTGTTTCACCCACGTCCTGCCCTCTCACAAACTTCAATCTTTTCACCTTCACACATCTACACATGCTAAGCATCTTTCACTGTTTCTCCGTTAAAGAATTAAATCAAAGAAAGCAATTTGGAGGAAAAAAAGAATGGGACCATTAAGATGCTGCTGCATAAAATTAAGGAAATCATGTGGTGGAGTCTTAGAAATGGAAAGGAAAATGAGATTGCTCAGAAACCTTCAGGGGACTAGTGACTAACATGTTATAGAAACCCAGATTGCTCAGGAAGTACCTCCCATTTACTATGAAGCACAGAACGCGTTTCTGAATGGAGCATTTGAATTTTTGCAAATAATCTTTTTTGATAATAGAATAATTGTTTAATATTTAAAAAATTGCGAATCATGTGCATGCATTTGCCTGCAAATACGAAGTCTTTTTTTTTTTTTGTCCTTCCCCCTTCACTGGTGTGAGAGAGTTTGTAAGGAAAAGAAACTGAAAAGAGAATGAAGAAGAAGGCAAAAAAGAGAGGGTTCTCCTGGCTTTGCAGGGTATAAGAATGCATTTTTTTGGGGGCAGGGAGGATAAAAAAAATAAAATTTAATGACGATATTTTTATTACATTTGTCAAATATTATAATTTCAAAGTAAAAATGGCAAGCCACTGGTACTTTTGGATGGGTGAGAGTATTTTGGTTGAATCAATGAAGACAATTTATATATTATTGTTGATAGTTGCATGTGATTGATGAATCATGATAGTGCCATTCCGTTATTCCGTTTTGAGAGCAAACCTATTTAGATTGTTCTTTCACCTTCACATATCTAGATACAGTAAGCATCTTCAGTAATGTTTCCCCACCAAATAATTAATAACCACAATTTAATACCCAGCTTCAATGCACGTATATATTCTACAAGCTGAGTCAAAGAAGATTACCACATTTATTAATAATGGGGCAACTTTAATAATGGCTCTACCTTGCTATCCCCTTTGCTTCCTGGCCTCTTTCATGTTAGCCTCACATTAAATAATGAGAATGCTTGCAGGGTTATACTTGCTACTATTAAAAAAAAAAAAGCTTTCATGATATTAATTTATAGCGGTTATTCTACAAACTGTTTTAAAAAAAAAATAGTGGTAGCATCTTTGTTCGCTTTTCAAGTACACAGCTTGTGACAATAATAAAGTGACGAGAAAAGTATTGTTCTCATGAGAATTTGGTTACTAAACCCGATCAAATATTAATTATTATATTTTTACCTAATTTGAGTTGCACAAATATACCAAGAGCAAAACGAACATATTTATAAAATTAGAAATTAAAAGAAAAAAAGTGATTCTTCAACTCCAAAGACAAAATGGGTTCTAGGATTATTTTCCCCATTGTATTTTAAAAGTACTCAATTAAATCTCAATCATAATTGCTTCTTAAGTATAAATTATGCTAGTTAAGGACTTAAAATTGCCTATAAGTGCTCTCTCAAGTCTCTAAATAAGTGTTTAATTCAATTAATTCATTAATCTCTCAATTAAATAATTAAACCCTAATTTTCATTACAAACCTTTTATTACTATGTGATGTTAATGTGTATATCTCTATCTCATTAACAAAACCATCCGTTTAACTTGCAAACTTCAAGTTCTAACATGATTAAACTCCTTATCTATCAGCAAGGTTGCCAAACACACACTAATTTATAACATACATTTTCTTACAATATTTTAACATGAAATATACATGGGTAAATTGTTCTAAATTCAAAATAAAAAACTTAATTACTAAAAAATCTCAATAATAAAATGAGTAACATGCAATGATATAAATTATAACATAATAAATGACAACTACTCGTTTATTATTGAGATTTACTAGTAATTAATTTTTTTTGGGATTTTATTATAATTTTCAAAGTGGTCAGTTCATAATTACAAAGCCAGAGCAAAGCAGAGCTCTCATGATGGTTGTCGAGCTTTGGCATCATATTGCCGCTAAAGCACATAAAAAGAAACGATGGCAAGGAAGGAATCTTCGATGAATTATTCGATCACACACCCCAAAATCCCAAATGGGTCCATCGCAATAAAGACACGATTCTCTGTCTCTCTTTTTTTATTTTTTTGACCTCAAAATCAGTGTGTGAATGGATTCCCTGTCCATTCAGATCATCACCGTTCACTTTTGGCATAGCAAACTCCCTCCCTCCCTCCGCCTCTATGTCTCTAGATATATATATTCCTCTATTGTTCTTCCCACCTTCCATCTCTCAGCTATAACTCGCCAAATGGGAATGGATATGGAAGGAGAGATGTTCATCTATGTCCATGGAAAGGTTAGGCTTCTTAATTATCTTCTCCTTTATTGTTCTTTTCCATCATCTATGCCCCCATGTTTCCTCTTCTCCTGTCAAATCCTCGAACTGCTGGTTACCTTTGAACAGCTTACACCAAATTTCATATTCTATCCCTATAGTCCCATAGTCTCATGATCCTTGGTTTTTCCTTCAACTTGCTTACGCATTCTTTTCTTCTTCTTCTTCTTTTTTTTTTTTTTTTTTGTATTTTGGTTTTTTTCAGACTGGCTTGCTCTCAGCGAATTCGGCTGTGATTTCTTTGATTAAATCCAGGTAACAGTGAAAAATTTGTTTTATTTTTGCATAGGTTGTTCTCTGTACTTTCTTTTTATTATTGAATTATTTCATTTTTATTTTGATTATTTTGAAAAACGGGTATTACAAGTCTCCTTGAAATTATGACAGTGACAGGAGACACAGTATTACACATGACTGTGTCTAATAGGCAAGAGAAGGTGACAGCTAACATGATGAATTTATTAGTTTTTAAAGAGAATAAGTTGGGAACCAAAGAAGAATGTGTTAGTTACTTGGATGGATGTTACGAGAAGAGCTGGAACATGAACATTGTCCTTGGAGCTGAAAATACCCACACAAAAAAACAGCTCAATGGGAAATGTTGAAATGTGCAAGAAAATCAATAGCAGAGACCCCTCATTAATTTTCAGATGAAATATCATGCCTAGTTTTCTAATAAATCTACGAACCCACCCACCCAGTTTTTTTGGCTATTAAAGTTGGTCAAATTTGACATCGAAACCTTCCATCTCTAGTATCTAATGTGTCAAGGCCCGGCTGTCACTACCTTGTACATGAATATATGAAGAACGGAAGCATACAGTCCGTATTGTCCTTGGCATCAAGATAGAAGATTTACTTATGATTTATATTTTACATTGATATTAAATGAATTGTATTAAATTAAATTTGCATAGTAGAGTAATTATTAGTAAAATATCACTTTTAACATATAACAATGTTATTGTTTTTATATAAAATTAGATTTTTCCTTAATCATTGACAATTAGAATAGATATATTTTAATATAGAGTATATATTTAATAATGTTAATTTAAATTTTTCATATCTATAATAATTTAAAATGGTAATTAAAAAATTCGCCTTTTAATTAAGCAACAGAAATTTTTTTTAAGATAGATTGAACCTTAAAATAAATACTTCGAAAAATGGAACCCAAAAAAGAAAGCAGAGTGCGATGATGACCTGACGTAATCTGTATTAGTCTAACACTCTACACCAGTGATGGACAAAAGAGGGAGACTTTGCAAACCATTCGCAACCACGATCTAAGAGACCCGTTTTTAGCCCGTATGTGTGCATATGAAAAAGAGTTAATAAAGATTGAAAGCATCAAAAGCTCACAATGGCTCTGAATTATATTGGAGTTTAATGGCTCTAAGGTTCACTGCGAAACATCAAATTTCAAAACTTGGGATTTGTTTGGTGGCAAAATTTGATGGTTATTTGGTACTAACCATCAAATTTTATGTCAAAAGATGACAGCTATCTTATTGAAATATTAAGTATTCAGCGTCATTTTCCCACCCTTTTGGTGTAGTAATCAGACTGAATTTTATCTGAAGCTTTCCTCTCTCTCTGTTAATAGAAGAAATTATTACTGGAAATTCAATTCCCATGTTCTTAAAGAAGGTGATGTAATGCAAAACAATACGGAATGTAATGCGATGCTTATTGATCATCAATATGATTAGTATATTATTAAGAAATTGGGAAAATTAATTCCTTTTCCTATTTATTTAATCAAATAAAAATAGAATTTAATGCTAGGTTTTGCGAGAGAATATAATGAAATGCGGTAAAAACAACAGGAAAAATTGCTCAAATACCAATAAGTGAGGCTAATTTGGGTCATGTTATAAATGTCTTGGCTAAACCAATTGACGGTCGAGGAGAAACTTTAGTTTTGGAATCTCAATTAATTGAATCTCTACTCCCGGAGTTATATCAAGACGTTCCGTATACTAGCTTCTTCAAGCAGGACTTATTGCTATTGATTTAATGATTCCTATAGGGCGTGGCCTATTATAATTAATTATTGGGGACAGACAAACAGATAAAACAACAGTAGTCACAGATATCATTCTCAATAAACAAGGACAAAACGTAATATGTGTTTATGTAACTATACACATAAAATTTTATATTAAATATACTAGGCTTTGCACAAGAAAAAAATACATTTAATACCACTACGCGCCCAAAAAAAATTGCTAGGGTCGTATTGCCCAATCAGGCTTCAAAGCTATTGACGAGATTAATGCCCTTTCACCAAAATATCACGTGCAGCTTTGGTAGATGTAAATAGAGCAAGCTAGGGTTCTATCTGTTTACAGATATATTTCCCACGGTATGCCAATTTGAACCGGACAAAGCGGTTCAGCTCATAAACCAATCAATCGCTTTGGTTGAACATGTAGACCGGAGTCAAATTGACCCTAGCGACCTGGTGTAAACTGGACCGGGGAGCAACTTGGTTAACCCACCTGGTTTGATAGGTTAACCTAGTTGCTTTTTTTTTTTAAGCTTTTTTGAGCCAAAATTTTTTTCTTTCTTAAACTATTAATAATTATTAGTTTAGTGATTAATAGATTGTAGGTAGGAATACTTTGTTATCATACATTTATTTTGATATTTTGCTAGGATTAATGTGCAGTGATTTTTTTAATATGATGCTATGATGTCAATTTGTTAAGGGAATTGTAAAGAAGGATGGAAAGAAATCGTAAGTATATGATTATTTTGTCTATAATTCAAGATAATGAATTAACATTTAGTTCTTAAATGGTATGATAAAAGTTTAAATCATTTTTCAATTTTTTATTTTTCACTAGTTTGACCCTTTAGGTTGACTCCGGTCTATCTAATAATCCTTAACCTACTGTCTCGACCAGTTCAATTAATAGTTTGGTTTTCAGTACCTTATTCCATGTTTTGCTTTTCTTTTCAATCAATAATAACGACCAATGACTCATTTCAGTTCACGGTCTCTTTTTCTTCTTCTCTTTTTAACCTCCTTTGTCAAAGAGATGAGAAAATTATACTATTTCTAGTTATTAATATAAAAGCTAATTGGATATTAGTTAGGTTTGGTCTTAGATTTGATCCTGAATATAGGATTTCGATCTATTTTATCTTCATTTTTTTATAATATTCTTATTAATTGTAAAGTGTTCCCATTAACAAGTAATTCCAATGCACATGATTAAAGAGAATAGTTTAGAAAAATCACAACAAATTTATAACAATTAATATATTTAACTAATTTTTTTAATCTCCGCAAATTAGTTATATATCTAGCTAACCCTTACATTAAGTACTGGAACTAGTATTTAAAAACTTAGATATTAAAACAAGTTTTTTTTATCAAAATTATAATCATAAATTTTTTTAATAAATATGATTATTGTCTCGTGAACCAAATATAAGTGAACTTAAAGACAAATCTTTAAAGTGAATTGAACAGGTGTTAGCAGGGATTTAACTTCGATTAGACAGATGCGAGAGAAGCCCATGTTATGAAAGGAATTGAGGAAGAAGAAGTCGCATTGCAAGTGACACATGGGAGTGCCTTGATAATTTTATATACCACCTTCGCTCTTAAATATAAAAATTAGTTGACTAATTTAAATAGATTGAGAAAATAAGTTAAGTTAGTTATTTGTAATAAATAAGTATTATTTTTCCTAAAATATCCTTGCTAATCAAATGTATTAGTTAGAACTATCATTATTATTAGAAGGACTACTTTAAAAAAAATAAAAAAATAAATAAAAAAATGAATCAGAATTTATATTTAGAACTAAAATATAAAATAACAAGATCTCATATTAAGAATCAGAGATAATATTTTAAAAAAAAATACATGCATAATAAAATAATTTAATTCCAATTTAAAAGTGGTCAGTTCATAATTACAAAGCCAGAGCAAATCAGAGCTCCCACGATGGTTGTTGGGCTGCATCATCATATTGTCGCTTAATCACATAAAAACAACCTCATGGTAAAGAAGTAATCTTCGATAATTTATTCGGACACACACTCTTGATGGGTCCATCACGTAAAGACACGAGTCTCTCTGTCTATTCACATCATCACCATCCACCCTACCCACCGTTAATTATAACCGGGAGAATTTCAGTAAATCCCCTTACTAACTAATTAATATTAGTTAACTCCAAAGATTTCAAAATTTCAGTACACCCCCTTAGACTAAAATACAATTAAAACTTAAGGGTGAAAGACAATAATACCCCTGCTGTTTTTCACAAAAGAAATACAAGATTAACTATTGTTAGAGTTCCGATAACGGCCACCTGAGCACAAGTACCCACACTTTCCACCTCTGATGTCTTATCGTTAGAGCTCCAGTCAACGGAGGGTTTTTCCCAAATAAGGTGGCTAAAAGGCTTTGAATCCAAGACCTTTTGACACACCAAAAGAAAAATCACAGCCAAACCAATAACCAAACCACTTAATCTTATAACAAAACAAATACAAGTACTCAAGTATAATGAACGAGCACAATTAGACAATTCACAAAAAAAAAAAATGGCAATTTACAATTTAAATTTGGCCATTTACGAAGAACATATATGAATTCACAACCTCAAATGTAAGGATTTAGGTGTGAATAAACAAGTAAAACTCGTCGATTTACAATCCAAATTCAGCTATTTACAAAAAATATAGGTGAATTTATAACTTCAAATGCAAGTGTTTAAGCGTGAATAAATAAGTAAAATTCGGTTGTGAATAATAAACTCTGTCGTATGATGAATGTGACTGCCTTCAGCCATGAAATAAGCATTTGAATTAATGTTTATTGGTGCTTATTATTGAAACATGAATTTTTAAATTAAGCCAATGATCTTAATGATGATTTTGATTTTAAACAGTGATGAAGATATATATTTTATTAATGTTAACTTGATGCAATTAAATATTTAAACTAATTTTGTAGTTTTTTATTTTTTGTTGAATGATTACTATTTATGAATTTTGTTCTATTTTGAAATGTTATAAATTAAATTGTATTCTTTTAATATAGCTGGTTCGATCTGATCTAACCTAGATCTAACTATTGATCTTTAACCCATTATCTCGACTGCTTCAATTCCTGGTCTGGTTTTTGTTCCTTGTTGCTCCCAACTACCGGCTCCTTGCTATACACACGCCCAAATGGCTGACGCATTTGTTACCCATGTTGTTATTAATTAAGCTTCGCAGTGTGTCCCAAACCATCGTGTCAAATCCAGACAAGGTGTTATTGATGAAACTAAAAGGGGTAGTTGTGTCTTACTTATATTACCTCTTATGATTAATATGAAAAAATATGAACCCAGATGTGCTGCCGGCGAATACTTATGTTGTGAATCCACCCACCTAATTTTCTTGGCTGTAAAAGTTGGCCGCAGCTGTGATTAACACAGTTGGTCAAACTCGACATCGATCGAAACCTTCAACCTCTGTTAGCTCATGGGTCAAGGCCCGATTGCTACTGCCTTGTATAAACAAGATGTGCTTAGCCAAGTTCAATTGTAAAGGTACAGGAGAGTTAAAGTGCCTGGCAAGTCACAAGATTGCAGTCCGTGTTGTCCTTGGCATCAAAGTAGAGGTTTCACTTAGTGTAATGTGATTAATTTTACATTGGTATTAGACGAACTGTATTAAATTAAATTTGTAATAAATTTGTATATTAGAGTAATTATTACTATTTCATGTCAATATCACTTGTAACATATAACAATATTATTGTTTCTATATAAAACTAGATTTTTCCTTAGTCATTGACAATTAGAATAAGTAAAAATTGTAATTAAAA